AGGGCGTTCTCATCTCCGGCAGGGCAACCGATTTGTTAATTATTTTAACGCGGTTTTGGTCCATATCTCATGTGCCACGTCACGCGTATCGTGTAATGTCGGGGGCGCTTAATTCACTAGGCACCGTAGGGTTGAAGGACAATCCGCATAGCCCTTTTCCCCGGTCACTGCGCACAAAATTTTGGGTAGCCCTCCATTTTTTTTTTTTTGTTTTTTTTTTTTGTTGCTCTGCTTACAAAAGAGGAAGAACAATGAACCAATTACTTGCTTCTTTTCCAAATGAAGAATCATAAAAATGGCTAACCAACTAAGCAATCCGACAAAAGTTTGCTTTTATTTTAATATTAATTAATTATTTTTGTTTTTTCCTAATATGTGACCACATTCTGCTTAACACTGTGCTACGAAAAACGGCCGTAACCCCTTAGTCGCCTCTGACGCCGTATGCGCGGTTTGTTTTTTTTTTTTTTTTTTTTTGGGGAGGCATACCCTGTTGGGACATTCGGGAACCCAACAAGCGCATTATCATACCCTTGACGAATCAAATGTGTCCCCTCAAAAATAAAAATCATAATCATGCAGTGTAAAAAAGGGGTAAACGAAAGTAAATAATCTTCACAAAACGCAGGGCGAATATATACATTATATTACATACATATAGGCAACGCACCGTGCCATTAGCATACGTGAAATTGTTGCCTGAACGTTTACCGCGTCGCGAATACGAGTAAAATGTTTCTCCTATATTGTTACTCATTTTTAAGCTAACACGTGGCAAAATACGAAAATGAAAATCCAGTTGTGTAAGCTGTGCGTACCATATGCCACTTTTTCATGGGCTAGTTATAAAAGCAAAAAATGGGGTGAAAAAAAAAAAAAAAAAAAATAAGCCAAAGGAAATTTACCAACCTTGCGTGGAAATAACAGATCCGGGGATGTTACAATTCCCCCGCTCAAAATTGAATGAACCTTCCATCTAAATATTTTTAATTTATAAGTGTGCAGCACAGCAAACTAGCTAGCACCTATGTAGGACTCGAAATGATGCATCGAATGGCCCGCGCGGTTATAATCATGTGTTTAAGCTGATTTGTTCTTTTCCTTATAACGTGGTCTTTCCCCCGTTTCCTCTTTTAAAAAAGACTTAAAAAAAAAAAAAATGGCTGTGCCTTAAGTTAGCATTCCCATCCAAGCAAGCTACCAAATAAAATCAGTGAACGTATGTCCCTTTACGTATGCCACACTAAAGTGTTTGTTTATCACTGGTTAGGTGTTTTTCCCCGGTGAGCATCACCCGGTTGTTACTTCATTCCCTCGTTCCCTCTGCGCAAAATGGTTTCCGTTTAGCAGGCAGAGCGCCTCTATGAATAAAGACATGTTCTGTGAGATCACCAGAGGAGGTAAAAAAAAAAAAAAAACGCGTAAAAAGGCAAAACAGATCGTCCCTAACTGCACGTAGTGAACGTAAAGATAATCAGCTCAGCGTTAATGAATGCCCCACCCATACGCTCTCCCATGGGTTATTCATATCACCCTCATTGTAGGCTAAGGTTCGTTGTGCTGTACGTAAAACTTCAAATAGAAATGATACAAAAGAGGTGCGCACATGGTAGCGTACAAAAAGGTATAGGCCTGCTTGTTTATCTTTCCTTACGCTCAAGAAAAAGGGCGGAACGAAGTGTTGAACATTCTAAACGGTCCAGAGGTACCACCCCAAATGTGAGCTCTACACGCTCAAAACATGTGTCACAGCAAGTACGCCTTATAAGGGCGGTACTTAAAAATAGACAAGCATATCACGCGCAAAAAAAAAAAAAAAAATGCACAAATGCACATGTGTATACCTGCATGTGGAATGCCGCAGCGCCGTTTTCTCTGGGCACCAATTTCCCGCCTCATGGCTGACACTTTCACTTGGCACAAATGTTTGATTCCCTCGTTGTGTAGCCTTCGAAAAACTTCATCCAATTGTCTTTTAAAGAACAAAAGTTATGTCCCACTTGTGCTCTCCATTTTTATTGGCCTGTTCCCTTTTTTTTTTTTTTTTTTTTTTTAGCGTAAACTGGGTCATATTGCGCGAACGGGAAATTTACACCACGCCCCTTGAGCATGCGCGAATAGCCCATTTGTTTTTTTCCAACGCATGCGTGACCGCCGCCATTTTGAATCATCGCAGGTGTAATTTTTTGTGCTCGGTTGGCTGGCAATCCGCCAAACTAGCCAAATGTGCAAATTTTAGACATTTTTTTTTTTTTTTTTTTCCTTTTTTCCCCTGTGGTTTGTTTTTTTTTTTTAGCTAGCCCAAACGTTGCTATGGAGATTGGGCGACTCGTCTAAAAGGGATGAGATCTATAGCGACTTAGGTCTCCGGATCAGCATAAGAGATAATTGGCCGATTCGTATACGTACGTGTTGACCCCACTCGTTGGTGCCTTGCCCGTCTTTAGCGCAAATTGGCGGAGAAGTGCACTTGGACGAGAATGTTTGCATTTTTTTCCCCTGAGGACTATTTGAAAACACCAATTTTTGTGCTTTGGATATTTATTTTCCATTTTGGTCCACTAGGTTGAAATATTTTGGCGCTTCTCCATTGAGAGTTTTTTTTTTTTTTTTTTTTTTTTTTGCCTGCTGTTTCTTTATCTTATATTTGCTGCTCAGTACACAGCACCCTCTTTTTTTTTTTTTTTTTTTTTTTTCGCACCTCAACTATGCGAGTTCGTAACACGTGAGCGCGCTGATTTGTGTGAACAGCTATTTGCCTAATGATGATACGGCTACTGCCTGGAGAGGGCCCCTTTTTTTCTCCAAGAAGCTTGCACCTCCGGTTGGGGATTTACCCCTGGGCACATACACACCCCCGCCTCACAGGTGGTCACAACACATTTGCAGGCACACACACACACACACACACCAATCCCCACTCCTGCGCCATCCGCATGGACGGAAGAGCCAAGCAAAGTACAATGTTGAGGAACTCCTACCAAAATGACAAACCAAGCTGTGTTAATATAAAAGTTATTGTTCGTTGCAGACCGCTAAATGAAAAGGAGAAAAATGATATACACAACGAGGAGGTCGTTAAAATAAAGGACAATGAAGTAATTTTAACTCTGAACAGGAACAACGAGATTTATGAAAAGAAGTACAGCTTCGACTATGCCTGTGACAAGGATGTGGATCAAAGAACCTTGTTTAATAATTATGTCTTTCGTATAGTCGATGAGGTAATGCCCCCCATGAGGGGTCTTGTGCTGAACATATACTCTGCGGGGGGGGGGGGGAAAAAAAATTCCCCCACCTCCCCCTACGACTATTATATTTTTTTCGTTTGGTTGTCTATCCCAGTTTATTATAACACCCCTGAGTTATGCTGTTCTTGAGTTGTGCTTTTCGTGAATTGTGCTTTTTGGAAGTGGGAAGGGGAAAAGGCACATGTGGTATACACACACATATATATATAGCGTTATTTCCCCTTCACTGTGATCCCTGTCTCAGGTCCTCGAAGGATTCAACTGCACGCTGTTCTGTTACGGCCAGACCGGCACAGGCAAAACGTACACCATGGAAGGCAAGATTTTAGAACACCTGAAACATAACGAGAATAAAAAAATCGACCTGAATGATAGCATTAACAGCGACATAAACTACTACTACGAATTGTGTGACAGTGACGACACGGGGATCATTTTCCGCGTGGCGAAGAGAATATTTGACATTTTGAATCGCAGAAAGGAGTATAAGTCTACCAGGTTGGTAGGGGGGGAGGAGGAGGAGGAGCTTGCGTGGCGGCGCAATAGTTGCACGAGCGATGTGGATGAAATGTGCGCGGGAGTAGCATCCCACGCGGGAGTGACACGTTTAGGGGGAAGTGTTCTTCATGAGCGGAGCGAGGCGTCCCCGCCCAAGGGCCTGTCGAGGGGTGGGTCGCCAAACAAAAGCGAACAGTTCAAACCCCCGGAGGAAAAAGAGGAAGGGAGCAGCGCAGGAGATATATACAGCGTAGAAAAGAGCTCCTACGATTTTGTTATAAAAGTGAGTTACCTAGAAATTTACAATGAAGAATTGTGTGACTTGCTGAGTACCTCGAGTGAGTCTAACAAATTAAAAATTTATGAAGACACGACAAACAAAAACAAAGGATTAAATGTGGATAAGTTGGAGGAGAAGTGTATAAATTCGTTTGAAGAAATTTATTACTTAATCTGTTCAGCTATAAAAAAAAGAAGAACTGCTGAAACGGCTTACAATAAAAAGTCTAGCAGGAGCCATTCCATTTTTACCATCACCTTGATCATGAAGGATCTGAACAATGATGGAGAGAGCATTACCAAAATAGGAAAATTGAATTTAGTCGATTTGGCTGGAAGCGAAAATGCATTGAAGAGCTCGTATGGTAATTTAAAAGTTAGACAGCAGGAGAGTTGTAACATCAATCAGTCGCTCTTAACTTTGGGTCGAGTGATTAATGCTCTAATTGAAAACTCGTCGTACGTCCCGTACAGGGATTCTAAATTGACTCGATTACTTCAAGACTCTCTAGGAGGGAAGACGAAAACTTTCATCGTGGCTACCATTTCTCCATCCTCCCTCTGCATTGATGAAACGCTAAGCACACTAGATTATGTGTTTCGAGCTAAGAATATTAAAAACAGACCAGAAATTAATGTCAAGACAACTAAGCAATTAAAAATAAAAGACTTAAATAATGAAATTGAAAAATTAAAAAATGCACTCAATTTAAGTCGAGAAAAACGAGGAGTCTACCTCGACAATGAGGAATACAATAATATACAAAACAGTTTAAAAAAAAATAAAGAAATTTTATTACAAAAGGAAAAGATCCTGTTTGAGAAAAGTAAAAAAATTAAAACTCTTTTGAATAAAATGGACTACACAGATGATGTGCAAAATCAGATTGTGCATTTGTTGAAGGATGTTCTTTCTAAATGTAGGAACATCCAATTGGTTCATGACGTCTTGGTAAACAAGCTGTCTGAGGAGAAATGCGTCACGAGGTTCCTCCTATCACAGTTCCACCAAGCAGAGGGCCAGTACGAGCACCACGTCAATCTACTCTCCCAGGCGCAGAAGGAGATGTGTGCATTATTTCGAGAAACGGTTTCTAACTTTAGGAAGAGGAAGAATCAGGATTACTCCACGCTGAACGACATTTGCAACCTCATTTTGAGCGTGCTTGGGAAGGCCAAGGGTGACATGGAGGAAGGGAATGAGGCCATTATGAAATGTGTGGACGATGTGGAAAAATTGAACAGAGACATCGTCCTGCGGGAAAACAACCTCCTCACTTTTGTCATGGACAGGGTAGACGCTATGGAGAAACATGACCAGAATTATTTTCTCCAGTTAGGGGAACTCACGCGGGAGATCCTATCCTGCAGGGTGGACCTGGCTGATGTCACAGACCCGCGATGCAGTGACCCCTTTTCCAATGAGAGGAGTGATTGGACAGAGTCGGCGGACCCATCGGAGAGGACTCCCCAGAAGAACCTCCACAACACAGGAGCAATGCTGATTGCCCTGCGTGATCTAGCGCAGAGTGATGAAGCGCGGCAGATGCTAAGCCAAGTAGAGAGCTATCACTCCACGGAAGAGAGAACAGTCGAAGAGACCATCGAGCACATGAAAAACGTAAGCCAATTACTCCATTTATATTTAACTAGTGCATTTGAAAAGTTAAAAAAAGAAATGAAAAAAAGAATAGAAACACTAAATGAAGAGAGGGAAAAATTAACCAAGTTGGTAGAACAGCTACGAAGTGATTATGAATCCTTCGAGTCCAATTTAAATAAACGTAAGGCCAAAATTGTGGAGACGTACAGACAAAGCATAAGGGAAGATATGAACCTTTTTCAAAGTCGAGTAATGGAGGAGATCAAAACAGTGATTCAAAAAAATGTAAGCGAAATGAATGACACAGTGGAGAGGAAGCTACATGCATTGTCTAACCAGTTGCACGATGAGGCTAAAAATAAATTTAACAAAATCATTACCCACTCGGTAAGTACTCTTGAGGAATTTTTTGTAAATCACCAAGAGCGATGTGGTGGGTATAATCAGGATTGTCTCCAGTCCACTGACCTGGTTGAAGAAAAAGTAAATTCTTATTATAAAAATTTAGGTTGTGTCTTCACACATGTTGATAATAAATTTGTTACTGAGCAAAGGAAAATGGAGAGGACCGTTCAAAATGTTAAAGACGTGTTCAGATACATTATTGAGGGGAAGAATGACTCTATTATGAAGATAGCAAGCCGCATGGAGGACATTACATCGAATAAGAAGAAAGAGAAAGAGGTGCTCTACAAAGAACTCTCGAGAGCAGTTTTGCAGGAAAGGGATGAACTTGATGTTACGAAGAAGAAGGTTAAGCAATTGGCGGTGAGACACATGGAAGAGGTTAACCTGTGTAATGGAAACTATGGCGAACACCTCAATAAATGTGATTCATATGTGGAAGAACTGCTACAACGATTTCGCGAAAATGAAGATAACCAAAATGATGAGTGTGTGGAGTTTCCCATTGGGGATACCCCCGTCGTCCAGCATGAAGGGAAAGATATTAACGCTGAAATTGAAAAGGTGCGCTGCTATGCTAATGAGAGCTTCTCCCACATGGGTGAGGACAATATGCATGGCGTAGATCCCCCCGATAATACGTGTGGGACAACCGACTTACCGCCTCCATGTCTTCACCCCTACGCCGATTTGCATTACGACCACGTGAGGGAAGAGGTCCTCAAAGAAATTGAAGACGTGTCTGTTGAGAAAAATATAAATTTTAAGTGCCTGTTGGATAAAATGGATGAAAATTTAAACCTGATCCTGAATGAAAAGAATTTTGCTCGACATCGAGGTGGGAGTATGGACCTATCAAGGGGGGACAACATTGGGGGGGGTATCATCATACCACTTACTGCCTCTCGTCCTACTACCCTTCCAGTAGTACCACCACCCCCTTCCCTTTCATCCCCTCATGTGAGTGACTTCCCCCCTACAACCGGCCATGGTAACTGCACTCCGTCGGCACCACATGGCAACGTCATAAGGAAAGGCATAACCCATGAACAGAATCAGAAGAAAGCAAGTGGCTTCTTTCCCACACCTGATGCAGAACCAGATTTGGAGAATGGAAGTTCGAAACTTTTTTCAGATTGCAGCAGGAAGAGGAACAAAAGCATAGAAGCTGTGCAGGGGCGGAAATTGTACCTGACGTCCAATGAATTGAGAAACCCCAGTGCGAAAATAAAGGCGCTGGGAAATAGCGGGGGGTCTAGAAAAAATTCTCCCGCTCCTAAGAAAATGAAGGAGGACGCTTACAAAGGCAGGGGCACCAAGTTCCTTCGCAAGTCCGAGAATTAGCCACAACGTCACAGTTGGCCTAAATTAAAAAAAAAGAATCTGTCACAGGTGTTTCGCTCATCCCGCGTACCTACCCCACTTGTTTATGTATATATTTACCTTTTATGAAAAAAAGAATTTTGTTTTTTTTTATTTAGCGTTCCTTTTTTTAAATGACTCAGAGGGGGAAGAGCTTCCATTTGGTCCATTCAATGGGAGCCTTCTACCTCTGAGGTGATAACCACACCTGTCGCTTGTGTGGAGGTGGCCTGGCTTCATACGTCCCGTGTCTTCCGTCTTTCTGTGGTTCAAGTTGTTTTTTTTTTTTTTTTTTTGTTAGTACCCACGTGCATTGCTTATGTAGTGGTTCTGTCCACACCCTCCCCGCATTTGTTTGAACTGTCCAAAATGTGCTGACTTGAAATTTTGGCGAATTGGATGGACAGCCCATTTAGTGCACGTTCCATCATTCCCTTTTTTTTTTTTTTTTTTTTTTAGTTTTTAAAAAATTTTTAAATGTAAAATAATTTGGCGTAAACGTGACCTTACTGTGGCGGTTCTTCTTTACCGCTATTCGCTATAGTGTTTTTTTTTTTTTTTTTTTTTCTTTATTGTGATTTTTGTGCACAAGCACGTTATCCGTACGGATACATTCCTCATTATTGGAGAGAAGATGCGTACAGGGGTTTGTGCTAATTTGTGGGGTCCCCGTGGTCGAACTCCTCTCTCCACATTACACACTCTGTTGGGCACTGCTGTCTATGTCTTTAAAAATGCCCTCCCTGTGTGTCCACAGTTCGTCAAAGGAGTAATTAATTCTTCTCCGTAGGAGACCCAACCAAAGGAGGTGTTCACGAACTGCCACTATCGCAGTGTGTAACGTTTACATGGCGTAGCGACAAGTTGGTCAAGAAGTGAGATCGTTTTCATTTGTTCTCATGTGTTCAATTGGGGGAGGGTAACTTTTGTGTCCCCCCTCATATTTGGCCCATGACAATGGTAAACAATTTTTCTCTCGAACGATCTCCTTTTCAACTCGTTAGAGGAGGCACAACGAACATAACGTGGTGAGGAAAAGCAACACAAAGGGGCCTCACAAAATTACACATCAAAAGGGACAGAAAAGGAAAGGTGAAAAGAGGGTGAAAAAAATTTGGCGTACTGCTAAAACATATTGTGAGTTTCATTTTTTTCTTTTTTCTTAATATATTACAAATAAGTTTTTCCCAGGAAAGGAAAATATATTCAGACCAGATAGCAGTGATGGGTATGCCCGCACACTGCGCCAAGTGCGAGGGGAAAAAAAAAAAAAAAAAAAAAAAACTCACACTGCAAAAGTGCTTGCTCGGAAAACACGGCGTCGCTTCCACCCCCTCCCCCGAGCTGCTTCATACCTCCAAGTAGCATTAGTCCGGCCCCGGGATGGAGGAAAATAGCGCAAAAACTGGTTGGAATGGTATAACAAGTGATACAGAATGGCATAGCTGCGCAAGAGGAGGCGGCGAACACATAACTTACCCTGACGCAAGGAAATAACGCGCTTTTTCATGTAACCTTGTTCTCCCCCCCCCCCCCTTGACGCGAACGGAAAGTGACGCACTCTGCAAAAACACGGTGAACGACCCAAGAAAGGCGCAATTGCTGAACGTGAGAGTGAGAGGAAGAGGACGAGAGAGAGGGCTGACCCGCGCGCCGCAGCGAAGCGGATAATCATGAGCCAAGGAGTCGCATCCCACGCGTATGCCAGCACGTATGAAAAACACGTGCATGAATCACACATACACAAACAAGCATACGCACGCGCGCACACACACGAACGAACAAACATGCTTGTGCGTAGCGTTCTTACACACACGCACTGACGCGCGGAGTTAACCTACACACACACACACACACTTGTGTGAACGTGTGCGGGCTGCACAAAAAAGGGGAGGCAAAAACGATTGTAATAATACAAACCCACGCCTAACTCGGAGCCAGGCAATCATTCCTCAAAAAATCAGCGCAGCTGCCGAGAAAAACTCCCTCCTCTCGGTAGCCAAACGTGTGAAGGGGAAAGAAGTGATTAAAGGCAAACTGGATTGACCTATCGGTTGTGTAACAAGTAGCTCTGGCAACCGAAGCCAGGCACTCGCACACAGGGAGAGCGAACCGCAGAAGAGGTGGTAGCGTTCCCATTCGGGCGAGCTGGAGGCAGGTCCACCACAGCTAGACTCGCCCCCCACCGCAGCCAACTCTCGCTGGACGGGAGGGAAAGAGGCCAGGCACGTACGCGCAAGGCAGCAGAAGAATGAATGCGAACAGAGCACGGGCGAGGGGCACACCGAGGCGCGCAACAACAGAAGAAGCAACCTGAGGCGGCGGCTGGCGACGCGGCGTCAGGCAGGCGAAAGAGGCAAGAGAAAGAGGCCGACGAAAAAAGACGACGGAGGAGGGAGAAAAATAAGAGAGGACAAGACACAGGTGAGTGTTAGACAGGAATAGGAACCCCGGCGGCGTGACCGAGGAATATGCCCTGACACGCGGCCGAGTGCCCCCCCAGGAGCAACGTACGAGTGATTGACGCGCCCAAGGGAGAGGGGCGGCACGGGGGGGAAAGAAAAAGCAAAAATTGGGCATAAAAAATAGTGGCAAAAATAGCGGTAAAAATTGGGCGTAAAAAAGTGGCAAAAATTGGGCATAAAAAAGTGGCAAAAATAGCGGTAAAAATTGGGCTACATTTGGGCAGCCGCGAGAATCCTCTGCTTGTTAAAAATGTCAGATGTGTTTTCCATATTTAAAAAAAAACGAATAAAAAAAGCAAAACTGTGCAAAACATCCGTAAAAAAAAACAAGGGGAGGATTTTTATGAGCGACAAGTCCCGTCGGAAGGCGTACGCGACGAGCCGAGCGGTCAGCAGCAACCACAGCGGGTTGCTCCACCACAAGCACAGTGATGAGTATCTGAAGGGGTCCGGAGGGGGAGCAGCAGCAGGAGGAGGCAGCTTCAGCGGTGTCCTCAACGAACCCCCGTTCAGCAAATTAGCGGAAATCGATTTATTAAACAACGAAACAAATGTCGTTGTGGAAAATTTCCCAAAGCTCCCTGTAAAAAATATAGAGTCATGTGAAGAAGTATATAACATCTTCTACCTGAGGGATCAATATTTGATTGGAAATAAAAATATACAAATAAATAATGACCACTTGATTCTGCTTGAAACGACACTAGACAAATTAGACGCAGCCATATCTGAGTTGGACACAGAAGAAAATTATTCCACGAAAAAAATATTAACAAGTGTATATGAAAAGGTTTTTAATTTATATAGGAGTTTCAAAAGCATGAAAATTTTACCTCCCCAATTATCCAATGCATATAATTGTTTCCAGAGCAATGTTATATTTGTAAAAGGCAAGCAATTTAAAAAAAATTATGTGTTCGATAATTTAATAAATATTTACACATACCTACAGAACAGTGAATTGCAACAGGATAACATCGAGACGATCAACCAAGCCATTTATATTAAGGATAAAAATGTGTCCACTCCATCCTTCATCAACAAGAGCATTTTGTGTTCCAATGAAAGTGTTGAAGAGCACATTGAATATTTACCCATGAAGTTTAATCCTCATTTTACAGAATTAAACAAAATTTCCATTTATTACCTTTTTGAAGAATCTGTTAATCACATCATATGGCAGAAGGCGCTAGACGAATTAGTCGTTGTGAAAGCCTTGGCGGATATACCCTACTTGGACTTATCGGAGGTGGAAGGGTTCGATTTTAAAAAAATGAAATCGGGACAAAGGCAATGGTATCCTGTATATATTGCTAAGGAGTTAAGTGAAGAAGGACTTGCCACAGTGGAATTTCCCTTTTGGTTTTATATTGACAATTTAAAAAATATTTACAAGAAGGAGTTTGAGGACATGAACGAGCTGACGGACCTCCCCAGTCCCTTCTTCTTCGAAATATCTTCCATGTTCCTTGAAAATAATGCGTTTAAGAATTCTACGCCGATCGAGACCATCGGCCAGCGCACGCCCTACAAGTACATACTTAAGGTGGCAGGTAAGGTTGGAGCGGTGGTATAACAATACGGGTCATTTGTGAGCGGTGGCCAAGGACTCTCCTGCGTGTATGCACACTGCCCCATGTTGCCACTTCCTTGCTGCATGCCCACTACCATGTGATCGTTTCCTTGCTGCATGCCCCCTCCCATGTTGCCACTTCCTTGCTGCATGCCCACCTCCGCGCAGGCCTCATCCAGGATATACGACAGAAGCGCATTCACAAAATTTTGAACAAGTTCAAGAACTGCGACGTCCTGTCTGAAATCCTGATAATAAATAACATACAGATATACGAAACGTATTGTGTGAATTACTTGGCTTCTGTTTTTTTTCAGAGCAAAGGGTCCAGTAGTTCTGTGGCGGACAATTTTGATGTGCGCAACTATCTGTTCGACCCCTTTGTTTTTAGTGCCTGAGGGGGGAGGCCTCAAGGCGGGAAGGCGCGAAGGCGGGACCCACCGAGACCCCGGCGATCAGGAGAGGCACGCCAACTGAAAACATTATAACCGCGATAGCGCGGTGGAGGCCACGGTCGCAAATATACTCAACCAATGAGCACAGGTGTAGACATGGTTTGGACAATGTGGGGAACGTCACGTCGTGGCAGAGAGAAGGGAAAAGCTGAGCTTCGACGTTCAGAAAGGAGGAAACCCGGGTCGAAACACCATCTCGTGAGTTGTTCCCACCTGCCATGTCGTCTGACCTCACCTCACCTGACCCATTCTTTTTTTTTTTTTTTTTTTTTTTTTTTGT